GTACCGTTTCATCACAACATCTCAGGCAGGCATGGTGCTGTTGAGTCACACAGAAAAATCCAACGGCAACCCCAGATCTGACTCGAGGGCCGGGTGGACCCGACCGAGGCCATACTGAGAGCATGGCTACACTTGCCGGTTCACAGCGTCTAACCTCAGGGAATTTTAGTCAACGTAAGCCGAAGCCTGGTCCTGGTCAGCTCTAGTGGACTGTGGACATCGCAAGCCTGCTGAAAGTGGCAAGCATTCAGTTGCTCCACTAAGGAGAAATGTACATGTCATTATGTGGAAAGGAAAAAAAAAAATCAGCTTTTCTCTATTTAAAAATCCTCTAGGGACGGGGGTGAGGGGCTGGAGAGGCGGCTTGTTCAGCGGTTGAAAGTGTGTACTGCTCTTTCAGAGGGCCTGAGTGTTACTCCCAGCACCCACAGTAGGCAACTCACAACCATGTATAACTCCAGCTCCAGAGGAGCTGGCATCTCTAGTCTCCACAGAGGCCCACACACGTGGCACACACACACACACACACACACACACACACAATTTAAAATAAATGATTGTTTAAATTCTAAAAAATAACAACATAAACATATTCTTTAAAGGCGCCTCTAATGACTAGGCAGCCCTAAGCGAGCACATAGGGAAATCTGAGTGCAAGAAAGGCAGGGCCCCTAGGACGGTCTGTGTTCCTGCAGACCGTGGAGGTTCGGGAACCTCACCCAAGGATGCCCTTGAGCTGTGTGCCACACAGACGAAGAGCTCAGTGACAAGGGAAACCTGAACTTGCCAGGCCTCTGGGCTGGACTTGGAGGAGGGAGGGAAGAAAGGAGAGCCCCAACCTTAGCCCCATGTGTACATGTGCACATTCACATTCTCTCTCTTTCTTTCTCTCTCTCTCTCTCTCTTCAAATCTCTCTTCAAAATAGGAAAGGCAGAAGGGGTAAGTGGCCTGAGGACCTGCCTGCCTGCTGTGGCACGGCCTTACCATCTTTGTACCTTCCTACCCCTGTCCTTCACTGGTCCTCCAGGACCACTCATTTCATCCTGCTGACTTTGGGAACATAGCTGCGTGTGAGGCCCCTTGAAAGATAAGGAACAATACATCCAACACCTGAGGGATGGAGAGAAGTTGGATGCCCACAGTAGTGTCTTCGGTGAGGAAGATTTACCTGGCTCTGCGTGTGTATGTATGTGTGTGTGTGTATTCATATGTCTGTCTGTGTGTACACAGCATGAGTGTGCCCATATCATCAGGTAGCCAAACCTGCGCACAGGCACTCCTGCTGGAGCAGAAGTGGACGTCCAGAGGGAAGAGCTACACAGACTCCCAACTTTCATTCTAAATAAACACCCTGAACCTGCGGCACAGGAACGCATGCAACACTGCAGAGCAGTCCCTTTGGAAGCCACTGTCCCCGGGAGAACCCTGAACCGCACCCTGGGAGACTTCAGACCAGGGACTTAGCATCTCTAAGCTTCCATGTAGTCCTTTTTATTTAATTAATGTGTATGAATGCTTTGTTTTCACGCACACCAGAAGGGGGCACCAGACCTCATTATAGATGGTTGTCAGCCACCATGTGGTTGCTGGCAATTGACCTCTGGAAGAGCAGTCAGTGCTCTTAACCACTGAGCCATCTCTCCAGCCCCATTCCTAGCCCCAATGTAGTCCTTAATAAGATGGAATCATAAAAATATCAGTGCCTTTTGGGGCAATTGTAAGAATCAAAATGATGCGCGTAGAGTGCCTGCAAGAGTCAGTGCTCATGCATCTTGGCCACAAAGTTTCTGAAGCCAGAGAAAAGGGCAGCGTGGAGGCCATGGAGACCTTCATCCCCACCAGCCCTCTGCTCTCAGCCTCCCCAAGCAGCCACTCCTGCCCAGCTCATGGATGGCGGGATGCAGGAAGGGAGTGCACTTCCACACATCCCTCTGTGTACTCTCAGAGCTGAGCAAGCACAGCCCCAACTCTGCACCCCATCTGCTTGGCCCTGGCCTCCCTGGTGGAGTCTTAAGCTGTCTGGCCCCCATCCATGGCATTCCTCCTGCTTCATGCCACTTCAGACCCTGGAAATGATATAAGAGAGGGGTTGAGACCCGGGCCCCTCCCGCGCTGTGGGAGGCGGACTCCCAGGCCCTGGAGCGCTCAACTCCGTAGGTAAGGCAAGGGCTTGCACCTCACAGTTCCCACATGTGCGCAGGCGATGCTGATATGGCTGGTTTGGGAGTTACATCTGAGAAGCACCGGCCTGCAAACAAACTGTAACCTAAGCACACAGCCAGGGCTTTCCCAGAGAGGAGAGCGATCAAGGAAGGGGCCATCAAGAGAGAGGTGAGGCAAAGACAAAGGCTGAATCCAGGAAGGGCAAACATGGCACTTGGAGGGGGCGAGGATAAGGCACACAGGCAGGTGGGGCTGGTGGATGAAAGGGGCCAGCAGCAGCCTCGCCCCTTCCCTCAGGCTCAGCAGATGGCTCCATTGTACCAGGCGCCTGTGTCACCTTTGTAGGCTCTTGGGCTGCACAGCAAGTCCCTGTCCCCCAACTGCAGCTACATAAAGTCCCTGCCCTAGGCTGGCTTTCAAGGGCCATTATGGCAGGCGTCAGTGTCTCTACCTGCCTTTACCAGGTGGCTCTGCTGGAGCCAGCCCCTGGGTGCCAGGAAGGGGTGCCAGGTGAGTCGGCATATGTGCTGTGGGTGTAGGTAGTTAGAAAGGAGGCCCAGCCAGGCCTTTGTCTATCCAGATCGCTGTCATCTTTTGGTATAATGGCCTTGGCCAGTATGTGAGCATGCTTGCTCTATCAGTCCCAGGATCTAGGGCTGGGTGTGTGTTTGTTGCCACCCGAGCCAGAGCAGTTACTATGTGTAGATAATAATAGCAATCGTAATCCCTCATAATTGGACCAGACTTTGCTGTCTGCAGGGCACTTCCCTGCCCGTGACCTCATCTGACTTCCACAGGCGCCCTGTAAGACAGGCCAGGCTAGAGTTACTATCCCCATTTTCCAGCTGAGCAAACACAAGCCCAGATGGCCTGAAGTCACATCTCCCATAAGTGGCAGCCCCAGGCCTGGGGCCTGGGACTTCTGACTCCTTGCGCAGTGTTTCTTCCTCCGCTCCATACTGAACTATCACTGACTTGCTGCTCCGCAGGGCGGGGTGCACAGTCCGATTAACAGGAAGTCCATCCCAGCTGTAGGGGTGTCTGAAGAGTACATGGAGGTATATCAGCCTCCACCAGAACATGGAGCCAGGGCAGAGGAGGCTCCGGGTCACCCACCCCAGCAGAGAAACAAAGCCAGGTCCAAGGAAAAGAGGCAATTAGCTGTGTGCATCCCTGCCACTATGGCGAGGGTCTGTGCACAACTTGAGTTCAGAAGGCCTGCAGCAAACTCAGACTTTCTAGTCGTTTCCCACTTTCCCATGGGCTCAGAAAGCAGAGGCCGGAGCACTGGGGATGCAGCTCCACAAGTGGAGTGCTTGCCTTGCGCACACCAGGTAAACACTGCATAGAGCAGTTGAGGTGATACAGGCCTGGCCCAGCACTCAGAAGATGGAGGTGGGGGTGGCGTCAGAAGTTCAAGGTCATCCTTTGCTACACAGAGCATTTGAGGCCAGTTTGGACTGCAGGAGACCATGTCTAAGGTGGGTCGGTGGCTGAACCAGGAGCTCCCAAGAGCCCCGTCCAGGGACACACAACGACTCTCGGCTGGTTAGTACACATGACTATCATGCACGCGCACAGCACTGTGCCCGGCTGCAGGCTGGGCCCCTGGACTTTTTGTGTGCACACCTATGCATGCTGGGGGCGGGGTCATTGTCTACATGGGGATTATGTGTGGTTACGGTAGGGTAAGCATAAGCTTAGCATAACCTTACTGGTCTCCAGCAGGCAAGAGACCTGACAGACCCCCATCTGGGCTTACCACTGACTAGGCTCAGTGTCCGATCCTGTAAACCAGGGCACCTGTCTCACCTCATTTATTTCAAGGGCTGTCACCAGGACAGAAGGAACAATGGATGGAAAACACAGAGAACTCAGAAACACACTTTGAGGATGAACGAGGCAGAAGAGGGCTGAGTGTGAGCGAGGAGCCTTGCCTGTGCGGACAACCCTTGTGAGAAGAATAAATGTCACACTTCTCCCAGTGGCTCAGGAAGGCAGGACAGTGAAGTTCACAGGCTGACACGGGGGACAGAGTCCAGTGTTGGACTTAGCAGTCACAGCTCCAAGGTGACTTACATGGCCCCTTCAGGGATACCCATCCACCTGATAAAATCCCCTTTGCCTGACTTAATCCCGACCCGGAGTTCAGCAGTAGGGTGAAGAGGTCTCCTCTTATGGGACTCTGAAAACGCAGAAGTCACTGGTTCCATGGCCCAGAGCCACATCAAGGGTTACCTAGCAATACTCGCTTGGAGCCTGGGTGGGCAGGACATCTTTATCTCCAAAGGTCGATGATGTCACTTGCTCCTGCGCATCTGAGCATAGCCCATGTGCTTGAAATTTCTGTGTGGGTTGATCACCTCATGTCTACAGTACCCCAGAAAGCTAAACACAAGGGGGAAACAGAGGCCGCTCCAACACAGAGGTACAACAGCTGACCTAAGGTCTTACAGCTAGTATAGGGCGGATCCAAAATGAAATCCAGGTTTTTGGCCACCTTCCCCCTCCCCACACACTTTAAGACCGACTCCCTCAAAGCTGCACAGACCTAGAGTTTGGGCCTGTTGAGCCTCAAAGTTGAACCTCAAAGACCTATAACCTATAACCTCAGTGGTTATAGCTAAGGTCCTGGAACCAGACTGCCTGGGTTCAGAATTCTGCCTCACCTCAGAGTTTAACCTTCCCTCCAGTTTCTCAGCACCCATCAGCAGGACCCGAGACCCATCACAGCAGCAGGTCAGAGCCCCTGAGCTGTCATTATGTGAAGACAGGCCCCTCTCCTTCCCCGGGCACAAGCCATAGGGTCCCCCAAAGTGCCAAGAGGGCTTCTCACCTTTCGATCATCCTCCCGCTCCAGAGAGGAGCTGCTGGTGTCCCCGGGGCCGCTGGAGGGCATTGCTGGCAGCTGGGCAGTAGGAGGCAGGCTGTGAGGGCACTGTGGGGCTGCAAGCGCTTCAGAGAAGGAATTCTCGTGGTCTTTGTAAGCAAGAGCTAAAACTTAAACATAGACCCTGATGTCAAGCCCTCGGAAGAGCGCTGCCTCAGCGCTGGGCCTCAGGTGGTTCTGCCTGTGGGAAAGAGAAGTTGGTCAGTGGGGCACAGCCCAGTCCCTCCCAGGATTAGTCTCCAGCCCAGGCCAGCCTGGCCTCTGACCTCTCTTCTCCCAGTCTCCCAAGCGCCCCAGAGGGTGAGAAACTGAGGCAGCTTCCACTTCCTCCAGAGCATGGAGGCTATGACAGTCCTGTTCAGAAACTCAAAGGTGTAGCGTACGCCACGTTTAGGGCTTCCAGAGGCCTCCTGCTCCTCCCATCTCCGCTTTTCTTCCCTCCGAACACTTCCGAAACCCTCCCTCCCACCCCAGCCGGGCCCTGGGAAACCCCAGCCACCACCAGAGGCCCCCAGCCCAGCTACATTTTCCTTCTAATCTGTCCTCACCCGACCCCCCACCCCCACACTGCTCCTCGAGTGGAGGAGGAAGTGAGCAGCAGCCACAGGATGTAGTGAAATGAATGTCACTTTGCTCAGCCTGCCCAGGACCGGCGCCCCACTGACAAAGCTGAGGCCCGAACCCAGGCGGTGCTGGGATGCCGGTTTGCTGTACTCTCTGCGTGCCAAGGGGTGAGGCTCAAGGCCATGGCGGCACTGAACACACATGCAAGCCCCTCTCCAAGCCCCTCTCGTGGCCCCATTTGCCGGCAGGACTGGTGGGCTTGAGCCCTACCAAACGCACACACAGCTGTATTTTAGGGGCTTTTCTTCCTCCCTCCTCCAGGTGTGGGCCGCAAGCCAGTGAAATAACAAAGCCCGAGCCTCAGGCCACAGCTCAGGGTGGGTGTGTTACTGCGACAAATCAACCCCCTTCACTCCGGGAGACACACGCTTCCCCCCCAAGCCCAAGAGACAGCGCCAAGCCCCTGCCTTGAGTGTGTGCCTGCCCGGGAGGGGATTGGCAGCAGTGGGAGAGTAGGAGGTGGGCTGGATCGGAGCCCACCCACACCCTTCCCCTTCCAGTTCCCTGTTCTGCCTCCCAGCTCCCCTCCCGGTTGGGCCTTTCCTCCCAGCCCCCTCTGCCAGGGCTCCCTGGAAAACCAGGAACGGGAGACCGCCCAGGCTTGGGTTTCCCATGGGCCCTGTCCCTTCCCCCAGGGATGTGACAGCCGGGGAGGTGGGTGCCCCAGTTTGGGCTCTGCACTGGCAGCGGTGGGAGGCAGCTGGAACTGGGGGTGGGGGGTGACGCAGAGCCAGGAGAAAGGGCCTTAGAAGTTGAAAACCAAGGCCTGCTGGAGAGGCTATGCCCACAGCTGCGACCTGTCTAGGGATGCCCCAGGTAGGAGGCGCCTTACTCCCTACAGCACTAAGCGGTAGGGCACTTGTCAGGGCTGGCTGCTCAAGCACCTGAGATGGTGGCTGGGAACGGAGAGAGCGGCTCTACGCCGTGACGTGGTGACATGGCACCTCATTTTGTCCGCTCCAAGCACTTCCCTAAGACTAAGGCTCAAACGGTTGGGACGTGTCTGAGGTGTGAGCCAGACCTCATGAGTGGACTCTGAGGGGCTGAGTGCTCTTGGAAGCCAAGCCCCCCTTCCTCCGAACCCCATGGAAACTGATCTGACCCAGTACTCCAAAAGGCGTCCCTCCTGCTATTGGCCAGTGATCCCGTCCAAATCCCATAGCTGTTTGCAAACGCCCCACATACAAACCTTGACAGAGTAGGTGACAGCCCAGAGAGTCAGTAGGCAGAAAAGAATGCTGCACCTGGAGCCAGCAGCTAAGGTCCTGACAGGGTTAGCTGACCCCCCAGGCTATTGGGCCTCCCAGGCAACAGGAGGAAGACCGCTAGCACCCCACAAGGGAGACAGACCAGGCACGAAGCAAGCAACGGGAATTAGTCTGCTCCATAGTCCAGAGAGACACAGGGGAACCTGCATTGGAGTTCTGCGAGAGGAGGCCCTGACCCCCGAGGGGGAAGGGAGGGAGTGGACAAGAAAAGCAGAACAGCAGAGTAGCCACAAGGGCAGTCACCCAGGAAAGGAAAGGGAAAGAAAGGAAATATCTCGGGACACCCACGTCCCTGACACGTGAGCTTCATGAAAGGTCATCATGGAGAACAGGGGTCTGGGGTCAAACCTAGGGCCCTTTGTGTTTCTCCAGAGACCTCAAAACCCCTGAGCAGCATCTGAAATCATCAGCATGTGACCAGGCAGGGCTCTACTTAGTGGCCAAGGCCCTAAGCTGGACACAGCCCTGTCCACCTGCACACGAGAGCCACTGTCTTCTCTCAAGCTAACCTGGCTGCCGGGAGCAGTGGACTGTGGGACCACTGTCCTAAGCTGGCAGCAGCCGAGGAGCCTATCTCAGGCTCCTGCAGACCCCAGCATCCTCCTCACCGAGCCCACACCCCGGGAACCCTCACCAGGAGCCCAGACATCACCAGCAGCAGTTTTTATCTTTTCCTCAATAACTTTTTTATGTTTGTAGTGACCCTAATGGTGCTTATCACAACAGCATGAAAGTGCTTGTCCTTGGAGCTGGAGAGACAGCTCAGTGGTTAAGAGTGCTGCTGCTTTTCCAGAAGACCCTGGTTCCCAGCACACCAGGGGCCTTAAAACAGCCTGGAACTCTACATTTTGGCATCCTCTTCTGACCTCCACAGTCAATGGCACAGCACACATACAGCACACACACATACAAATGAAAGTCAGTCTTTGGCGGGGAAATGCTCCTCCTTGAACTCCTGATCCTCCTGCCTCCCACCACCCAAGTGCTGGGATTACAGGCATGTGCCACCATGCCTAGTAAGAGTTGCAATACCAACTAAATTCCACATTTTACCACCTTCTTCAACCTAGAAGACTTAAAAAAAAAAAAAAAAAAAAGATGTGAAATGACAAGAATGGACTGAACAAGGGAACATTATCAACAAAACTTCCAGACTGGGAAAGCAACTTAACAGCCAAATGAGAGACAGGCAGTAAAAGCTGATTTTTAATGCACAGCCCTTAACAGACACTTGCCGCCAGAGCACCAGGGGCCTGTGGGGTGGACTGAAAAGGACGCATGTGTGACAGCAAAGAGGCTAGAGCAAGAACGGCCCCTACACCCGCTTTCCCTGAGGCCGCAACTTCAGATTCTCTGGAGGGTAACACGGTTAAGGGCGAGGTGACATATCCCAGCCAGCAGTAGTAAGCTTGTATAGATGCTAATGTGAGATCTCAGGTTGTTCCCCTACTGGGCTGGACCCACAGGTAAGGCCCACATCAGTACCACATGGGCCAGCACTGCCTGTTCACTCTGCCAGGGTGGATCTAAAAGCTGACAAGTCTTAGGGCCCAGAACTTACAATTAACTTCTCTGGTTAGAGAAGTTGTTTGTTTTGTTTTCTGTTTGTTTGTTTTATTTTTGAGACAGGATCTCATTATAAAGCTTAGGCTGGCCTGGAACTCTCTGTGTAGCCTGGGATGGCCACAAACTAGAGATTTTCCGGCCTCTACAACCTGAGTGGTGATTTCAGGCATGAACCATCACACCCAGCCAGTCCCCTGTTCTTCGTTCGTTCGTTCATTCATTCATTCATAGAAAGGGTCTCACTAGGTAGCCCTGGCTGGCCTGAAACAACTCACAGAGCTCTGCCTGCCTCTGCCTCCTGCAGTTCTTGATCTAGAAAGGTTAACCAGGGGCCAATAGATATTTTAGGAGAGCCTCTGCCTTGGAAGTCAGGGACCAGGATAAATAAAACCAAGCTGAGTGCAACAAAACACACCGGTGGAAGGAGGGCCCCGGAGAAACAAATGTTAAATATGATTGAAAAAGAAAAGCTGGAGATCAGAGAAGAGCTGCTGGCGGCTAGAGAGATGGCTCAGCGGTCAGGAGTGCACACCGCCTCAAAAAGGCCAGAGTTCAGCTCCAGCACTCAGCATGCGTGTCAGCTGGCCTAGAACCACCTGCAAGTCTAACATCTGGAGATGGGCCACCCCGGCTCCTCTGCATATCCACACTCATATACACCTCACATCATTAAAAACAAATGTACCTTAAAAACAAAACAAAACACAACGGGAATTCTACAAACACAAAATCATGGTAGTAGAAACACAAAACTCAATGGCTGACCAGAAATAAAATGATTTACCAAATTATCCAGGATTCCACTAGCCTACTACCATACCTATATGAATCCAAAAGAGATGAATGATGTCAAAGGGACACCTGTACTCCAGGACTGAGGTGCTGTTTGCAACAGAGATCAATGTAGGTTCCTGCCAATGAGCGACCAGATAAAGAGAATAGGGGCTGTGTGCCCAATCCAGTTATTGTTCCGTTACAAAACAATGAAACTGTCATTTGCAGCCATGTGGAAGAGCCTGGCCCACCTTAGATTAAGGAGTAAGTCAGGCACGGAAAAACAAAGACCACATGGCATCATTTACAGGCTTGGTGGTGTACACCTTTAATCCCAGCACTTAGGAGACAGAGACAGGTGGATCTCTGTGAGTCTAGAAACAGTCTGGTCTGCAAAGCACGTTCCAAGGCTGCCAGAGCTACAGTGAGACCCTGCCTCAGGGAGAAGGAGAACGCTGTTTTACAGGTTGGTCACAGAAATAAAGTACAGAGTAGCAGTTACCAGAAGGAGGAAAGGGACTGTGGATGAGAAAAGATGGTTAATGAGTGCAGGGATACACCTAGATACCAGTAATAAATTGTTTCAAGGGTTTCTCTGTGTAGCCCTGGCTGTCCTTGAACTCCCTCTATAGACCAGGCTGCCTAATGTTGACTCGAACTCTATCACTGAGATTAAGGCGTGCACCACCACCACCAGCTAAGGTAATAACTTTTATTTTAAAGGTTTTTTTCAATGTGGCTATGACTATGTACGCCACCTGTGAGTGGGTGCCCTCAGAGGCCAGAGGAGGGTGTTGAAACTCCAGGAACTGGATCCTATGGCACCCGTAAGGGCCGGGGACAGAACTCAGGCCCTCTGCAAGAGCAGCAAGCACCCCTAACTGCTGAGCCATCTCTCCAGCCCCATAAAGGAGTAACTTTCAATGCTCTAAAGCACAGAAAAGCAACCGTGGCCAGCAC